GAGTCGTCTGGGTCCCTGCGGGGGCCACGGGTGGGGCGTGGGTGTCAGTCCTGAAAGGGAGCGGAGGCGAGGGAGGGGGCGGGCAGGGCCTCTCGGCTTCGGGGGACGGAGGGGGTGGCGTGGGGCTTGAGGACGACGATGAGCAGCCGGCTGGTGGGTGGGTGGGTGGGTGGGAGGGAAGCAGATCGAGGCCCAGACCGACGCTGAGGCGCCCATGGGTGGCGATGCTGGGGAGAGGGCAGCGAGGGGCCGGGACCCAGATCCCCCAGGCAGCGCAGCCGCCCAGGACCTGGGATGCTGATCGGTTTGTCTCCTCCTCAGGTGCGGGATGGACAAGAGGGACCAGGCCAGGGCCGGGGCCGCCGCGCGGACGCCGGCTTCTCGCCCTCCCGGCCTTCCGACCCCCAGGCTCCCAGGGTCTCCTCGACCTCCTCCCCCAGTAACCTCCGCAGCCCTCCGAGTTCTGGGAGCAGCAGGAGCTGCGGGGCGAAAGCCCCTGGCGGAGCGAGCTGGGGGTATCGGCGGAGCCGCTCTTCCGGAGGCTGCCCCCCGAGTGGGACCGACGCGGGGCGCTGGGACAGGCCCCCGGAGCCCAGGTACCCCAGCCTCCTTCTTCAGTTTCAGCCCCATCTTCTCACCCCCTCTTCCTTCTGAGATACCCCCCACCCCCTTACCGGGACACCGTTGACTGGGCCTTCTCGCTGCAGCCTCCAGGCCCCCAGCAGCTGGGAGAGGGGAGCGGACCCCCACCAAGACTCCAGTCCCGGGCTCTGTCTCTAGCTCGGGGCGTGCCAGTGGGACCACCAGGTAACATGCTCTCTCTCCCCCAGTCCCCTAAGCAAGGGTTAGTGTCACAATCTGGAAACTTTAAACTTTTTATAAGAGTTGGGAGCATTTGCAGATCACTGGTGCAAATTGGGTGAAAGCCATTACGGGTGCGCAGCGAGGGTACATGCCCCATTTCAGAGATGGGAAACTATCAACTCGGGAGGTAAAAGAAGGAGCTGGGGCTCTGCCCTGAGTGCGGCTCCTCCTGTCCCCAGGCCAGGCCCCCTCGGCCAGAAGGGTCTCCGTCCCACAGCTGAGGAACTTGTGGCCAGAGGAAAAGCCCCGGAGGCTCCCAGAAGGAATGCCCTGAGCACCGGGGCACGGAGAGGTACGTGACCTGGGGATGAGCGGGGTTCCTGGGTAGCGAGGGGACCGGCTTGGAGGTGTCAGTGACCCTTCGGCCTCTGCTTTGTCTCTAGATTCTTCAGGGCCCACCCCAGGCGCCCCCTCCCCAGCCATCGCCCGTCGGTCCCGGGCTGCGGGCGGTGAGGTGGGACTTCCCAGGCCAGCTCCGAGTGCCCGGCCACGGCCCCCGACCGAGGCCCCCAGGAAATCAGTGAGCAGCAGCACGGAGCGCAGCGTAGCGGAGCCGAGCCCAGCTGCTAGGAGGCGGCCTAATGCCGGCGGGGGCCTCCAGAGACCAGCCTCGCGGCCCCTGAGCTCCAGCTTCACCCCTCTCTCCTCCCCAGCCCGCTCTGGAGCCTCGCCCCGTGGAACGCCCCGGGCTCCTGCGCAGCCCTTGCAGCCCAAGTCCAAAGGGCTGCAGGCTCTGCGCCCCCCACAGGCCACATCCCTAAGGAAGGACACAGCCCCAGTGCAGCACCCTCTCTCTTCTCCCTTGGCCACACCCTCACCGCTGGGTCCCCATACACAACAGGCACCGCCTTCCCACATCAGAGAGGCTCCTCTGCCGGACACACTCCCACCCTCTCCACCGACCACGCCCCCTCCACTGGCCCCGCCCCACAACCAGGCCCCGCCCTCCCTACAGACCACGCCCCGCTCACAGGATTTTCCCTGTCCCTTGGACACGCCTCTTCCACTAGGCCCTCCTGCGCCTGCTCCACTCTCTCTGCAGACCCTCCCTTCTCCACCGGCCACGCCCCCTCTGCAAGCTCCATCCCCACACCTAAGTGCATCCTTTCCGGAAGCATCTGCCTCTGCCCCGGCCACGGCCGCTTTTGTGGCTCCATTCTGTCCATCAGTTTCCCCCACTCTGCAGAGTATGCCTCCCACCCAGGCTTCTCCGGCTTTGCCCCTTCTTCTGGCTCCACCCTCGCCCGTGGCCACACCTCCTTTGTCAGCCCCTCCACCACCAACCACGCCCCCTCCACAAGCCCCTGTTTCTCCGGCCACATCTCTGCGGAGTCCACCGTCTCCCCTAGCCACACCGTCTCTGCCGGCCCTTCCCACCCTGACCACGCCCCCTCCACGAACACTTCCTTCTCTGTCTCCGCCCCCTCCTCAGGCCACGCCCTATCCACCTCTCACACCGCCCTCGCAGGACCCTCCTGTCCCTGACACAGCCCCTCCTCAGGCCACTCCCTCTCCCCTGACCATGCCCCCCACGCAGGCCCCACTTTCTCTGACCTCCCCGCCTCTGCAGGCCCCTCCCTCTCCTCTGGCCGGGTCTCCTCTGCAGACCCCACCTTCTGTGGGCTCGCTCCCTCTACAGGCCACGCCTCCTTTCCTAGACCCCACCTTCTGTGGGCTCGCTCCCTCTACAGGCCACGCCTCCTTTCCTCCCCACGCCCCCTATTGAAACCCAACCTCTGACCCCACCCCTTCTGCAGGCCTCTCCTCCCCCTGCCACACACCCTCTGCCCCTTCCCTCTCCTCCAGCGTCACCCCCAACCTCTCCCCTTACCACGCCGCCTCTGCAGGCCCCACCTTCGCTAGCCTCGCCTCCTCCGCGGGCCCCGCCCTCTCCCCCTGCCTCAGCTTCTCTCTCTCCTGCTGCCTCGCTCTCTCCGCAGGCCTCTCCGTCTCCCTCTGTCTCACCCCCTCTCACTCCCCCTGCTTCACCCCCTCTCTCTTCCCCTAACTCACCCTCTCTGCAGGTCTCTCTCTTTCCCTCTGCCTCACACCCCCAGTCTTCTTTGGCCACGCCCTCTCCACTGGCCCCATCTTTTCTGGCCTTGTCCCCCACGCAGGTCCCGTCTCCTACCATGACCACGCCCCCTCCACAGGCCCCGCCTTCTCTGGACTTGCCCCCTCTGCGAGTCCGTCCCCCTACCCTGACCACGCCCCCTCTGCAGGCCCCACCTCTCCTGGCCCCTCCCTCTCCCCCTGCCTCGCCCCCTCTACCTACTCCACGCCGCCCCCCGACCCCGGGTCCGGATGCCAACATCTCGGGCCCACGGCTGACTCTGGCGCTGGCCCCGGCCCCGCCGCCGCCGCCCTCGCGCAGCCCGTCCAGTACGCTGAGCGGCCCGGACCTGGCCGGCCACC